GACAAAGATGGAGAGTTGTTAACGATATAGAATGCTGGACAGTTTCACTGTAGGAGCTGCTCTGTCCCCAGCACCCCTCTGTGTACAGTTGTGCTGGCTGTGCGGTGCACAACCAGCAGCCCAGACCTCAAGTGCATAGAAAGGTGGTGGGGAAAGTAGTTGACTTGGATAATATCTGTAAGAAGTTTAAAGATATCATGTAAGAAGTTTAAAGATAACATAAATGTTACAGTTAGTTCAAAATGAGGATGGAGCCAGTCAAACCTAAACTCTGTCTATGTAGTGGTACTTTACAGAAGGAACAGGATGCCTTTCTTAGTTGTGCATTTCATAAAAATAAGAACAGCAGTAGATGGCACTACCTACTTAAATGTTAAATGGAGATTATTGCTCAGTACTCCCTGCCACCCTTAACCATCCCCAAACCCATAATGTGAAAATTGGTGAAATGTTTATTGACCAAAGTTTTAATCATAAAATTATTCGGTCTGTTACATGACTACTTTTAAGCATTGTTTAAACTGTTAATATTTGGATTGTTCTAAGAATATAGGAAAAATCGAACTCAGTTTCTCCCACTATACCCTCACAACACAGAATGCTCCTGTGACCCCCTGTCAATAAGGACACTGCTCCACCACACTTTGAGTGATAAAACATGAGGAGCTAAAGGCTAAGCCGATCAGCAATGGCCAATGATTTAATCAGTCATGCTTATGTAATGAAGCTTCCGTTGACATCCAAAAAGGACTGGATTCAGAGAGGTCCCTAGAGAGTGGTGTGCCCAGAGAGAGCATCGAAGCTCCACGCCTCATCCCACATACCTGGTCCTACACATTTCTTCCACCTGGCCGTTCATCTGTATCCTTTGTAATATTCTTTATAATAAACCAGTAAATGTAAGTAAAGTGTTTTCCTGAGTTCTGTGAGCTGCTCTAGCAAATTAGTCAAACCTAAGGAGGAGGTTGTGGGAACCCCAGTTTGTAGCTGACCAGTCAGAAGTGAAGGTGACAACCTGTCATTTGCAGTTGGCACGTCTGAAGTGGGGCCAGTGCTGTGGGCCTGTGCCCTCAACCTGTGGCATCTGTGCTATCTCCAGGCAGGTGGTGTCAGAATGGAACCGAATTAGAGAGCACCCAGCTGATGTCCATTGCAGAACTGATTGCTTGCTTGGTGTGTGTAGGGAAAACTCCTCCCCACCCCCTGGAAGTTGGGGGCTGGGTGGGGCTGAAAAGTTCCAGCCCTCTAATCCTGCCTTAGTCCTTCCTGTGACCAGCCTCCATCCTGAAGCTCCCTGGTGGCTGCCAGCCTTACTCCTTTGGTGATTCCAAGGATTTTAGGAGTTGTATGCCAGGAAACAGAAGGAAGACCAAGTGTATATTTCACAGTATCACAGTTACTATTCCACTGAAGGAGTGTTCTTTTTCTGTTTTTCCTCTTTATTTAGGGTTTTGCCACATTGATCCGTGAGTGGCCTGGGGATCTGTATAACAATTCAGTAATAGTTCAAGCAGTTCGGGATCACCTGAAGAAAGACAGTCAGAACAAGACTCTACTTAAAACCCTGGCAGAATTGTGAGTATATTTTAGTGCTGCTTTTTCCACATCAGTCTACACTGAAAAGTTTTCATACTTTAAGATTTGGCGAACTCTGGGGAGGTTGCCTTTTATGCTGTTCTCCTACATTTACTCCTAGTAAAAGCTTTTCATAAACTTCACATGAACAACCAGAAAGAAAGGACAATGAGTGAAACCGTATCACTGTAATGCAGTCTGATTCCCAGAGGAGAGGAGCCCTAAGCCGCAGCACCTGGGAGAGGCAGTGGTTAGGAAATAGAAGGGTGCCAGGTTTCAGACCATTCAAGCATCACAGTTTCCCCGTGAGCGAAGCTCTGGATTCTGTTCTTGGATCTTCAAGTTGGTTAATCTCTCAAATGTCAGATTCCTTATCTGTAAGATCACAAGTAACAATTACTTATGGGATAACTTTTAGCTTTAAATGAGATGTCATAATAGAGGACTAAGCACAGTCAGGGCTCAGAAAATGGCAGCTTGGTTAATATTTTTCATATTTATTGGGCACTTGCAGTGATGCAGGCTTTGTGCTGGATGTCCATGCTACAAAGACAGATAAAGTATATTCATGCTGTCAGGGAGCTGTGGTCTCGGGAAACAAGGGTACTGCAGGTCTATCCAAGAAGACTGTTTCTGCGTCAGCCCCTCCTTGGCACCCCCAGCACCTGAGACCACGCTGCTCCCATTTTCTCACTTCTTTTGTCCACAGCCAAGAAAGGGATACCAAAATGGCCTAGATCCAAGATTGCATTAGACTTTCGAGAGGAGGCTGTGTTCATGGCATTCTGAGTTGGAACACTAATCACTTTCTCTTGGAAGCGTTGTCTTAGATGCCCCTTAGATCCTGTGATACTAACTGTCGTTTCAGTTCAGTTGGCTTTCAGGTGCTGGTTTAGGGACTTGAAGTGAAAAACATTGTTTCAACAAAAAAGTACATTTCAATTTTATGCAACCTCCTTGCAAATAAGCTTTTGAAATATAAACCATTTGTCAGGTGAACACTGCTTGTAGGAATTTTAACTGATTTTTCTATTGCTAAAATGAGAATTTTCTTCATTCTGGACTATAGTTGCTTTGATGTATGGATTTCCGTAAGACTCAGGAGGCTGAGCCCCAAAAAAAGAAAATTTTTATTACTTGGATATTGTAAATTTTCTGAAGTTTCAGTGAGAGAAAAAGCAAAGTGCTGAGAAAAGAATACTTATTGGCCAGGTATAGTTAAATCCCAAGGAATGTTTTTCTAAATAAAGTTAACTTTTCTCTCTGAACAAGTGTTTCCATTTTTAATGTTGTGGAACATGATCTATGTGTGTGTTAAATAGAGTGGTTGATGAATATTAATGAAAAAATTTTGTGTTACCAGGTACACCTATGACAAAAACTATGGCAATGCTCTGGAAATATACTTAACATTGAGACATAAAGACGTTTTCCAGTTGATTCACAAGCATAATCTTTTCAGTTCTATCAAGGATAAAATTGTCTTATTAATGGATTTTGATTCAGAGGTAATGTACTCTTTATTTTAGTACTGATATTTTTACTATTCCAAGTTTTTAATAATTAGGCATATATCCAAATGCTAGACTGGTGAATCAGTCATAGAGCTTGCTGTATGCAGATCATGCTTAGAACACTCTGCCCCTCACTAGATTTATTAGTCATTTTAGTAGTTGGCATTCAGGAATCCTTTCCTTGATGGGATTATTCTGTAAAAGCATGTAAATTAATGTGGAACTTGTAAAGGTGTGTGTAAAGCAATTTCCTGGTAAAACAATTTATATAATTCATAGAAATAAATTAGGCATATGCTTTGGCTCATTTAAACCCTCTTAGACTACGTTCAAGAATTAAAAAGCTAAGTGAACTTCTGTTTTGATTCACTTATTACTATTTTATTTCTTGGCATTCACAGATTCAGCATGTGAGGTTTCCGTTGGTCTCAGTTGCTGCTCAGGTCTAGGACATGTGGGATGTGTTCTTTTATTGTAGCACAAATTTGAATAGCGGGCTGCTTAACTAATGAGTGGTTCCAGCCTCCACAGCTCACAGTGGCTCGTATAAAGTGGTACAAACTCTGTGTGTGTTTTAAAAACGGAAATCTAATTACAAGTGCTGGTGATAGTAATAACAAGGTTCATAAAACACACTGTTCTTATTCCAAAAACAGAAATTTTAGATAAATTGAAGAGTAGAACCCTAAAGTTTCCAAAAGGATTAATGCATTTTTGAATTATATTTTACTGTATTTAGGGGTGTTATGTGCTATATTAATCTCCACAAACTTAAACTTAATTTAGATGGAAGCTAGATCTACCTCTTTTTCTCAAAGATTCTTTAACTCATTTTTTAAATATTGAGTCAAGTCTTTAGGGCCTGCAGATCTACAAAGAATTAAGCAGTTCCAAGGAAGTTCATGTAGAGAGTCTCTGCCTCTGCAGCAGAAGTTGATTGACAGGATGAGATGCTAACACAAAAAGTAATCAAATTTTCCTCATATCCAGTGTCCCCTTATGCCAGCCTCCCCTTTGCCCCACCATGTATCTCCAGAGCTTAGTTTTGCATGTGTAGCTGTAGAAAAAAAAGATGAATGAGCTAAAACTAATTACTATTCAGGAGTACCAACGAAAGGTAAGGAATCATAGATCTTTCTGATCAGAAGAGAACTTAGGGGCACTCTACTCCCACATCAGGTGTGGAGCAGACACCTGGGTGGCAGCAAGTCAGGAGCAGGACCCAGGTGTTCTGTGTGAGCCTCAGCCTGGTGGGCTGTCTTCTCTCTACCTCTTGTCATAAACTATCTAATTTGTGTTCCTAAATGTTAAAGCTGGTTAAAGCAAGTTCTAAAAGTCCATGAGCTTTTTTTTTTTTTTAAATGAAAATATTCATTTTATAAATATGCATTTCAATTAAATATACATTTATTTTAAATACATGTGTTAATTATACACGTTACATCAGATCACAATTAAGTCAACAGAAGGTGATGATTTGCATATAATCAAGCTTGTGTATTAATCAGTTGTCAATATTAAATGCCATTTTTCTTCAGATGGCACCTTCCATGGAGGCATATGAGGGCCAGAAATTTGAAACAGTGATCAACCTATGTCTATTCGAAAGTGTGCTTCTGTGTCACTCTGCACTACTTATTTTCCCTCTTTTAAAAGTCCATGAGCTTTATGTCATTATGCAACTTCGGGTGTCTTATTCCTTTCCTGGCTCTTGTCCCCTTCTCCACATAAGGACCAGCTTCTTACGTCTGTGGAATCTCGGAGGGCGGCTCGGTCAAGGTGTGGGTATAAAAGGGAAGCTCATTTTCGTGGTACTGATACAGAGTTGCTCTCCATAACTACTGAGAGTCACATGAGAACTTGTGAAGGTATCTGAGACATCAGGGGCCTAGAATATGTATAGTCAGATTGTTTTGTGTTTGCTAAGTTACAGCCAGGCACCATTTTAGCAGTATGCAAAACACATAGACCTCAGACTGAGACACATTTGAAAAGCATTTCTTTACAAATATCATTTTACTTAAGGGCCATTGTAAAGCTAAGGGCCTCCTTAAGTATAGAAAATAAGCTCTCTACCTTTGACTGTGGTAGCATGTGCACTGCATTGTGTTTAGTCTTCTCCTCTTAAATAGCAGGTTTCAATGACTGGCTATTTTTTTATGTTTCAGAAAGCTGTTGACATGCTTTTGGACAATGAAGATAAAATTTCAGTGAGTGCCTTTTGTTTTTATATGCGTTACCAGATGAATGTTTGGGACCACTGTAGTCATAAAGAAGAAAGATGTTTATCAGATAATTTTGCAGCTGTGTTTATGTTCTCATAACTCCACATTTAAACTCTTCTTTTTTCTCTAGATTAAAAAGGTAGTGGAAGAATTAGAAGACAGACCGGAGTTGCAGCACGTGGTAAGCATGGCAGTCTCCTTCTTTTGCCCTTCTGATTGCTTGGTGGGTGCATCACCTTGCGGTACTGATGAGAGGTTACTGCTGTGAACTCTTCAAGGAGATTAATACTCAGATTGGAGGTTTGACCACAAACAGTGTTTGGTAATGATTAAAATGTGGCAGACGCTATGAGTCTGGGGCTAGGGATTAATTCCAGATCAGGCACTTGCATTTCGACTCACAATTGAATTGTGATGGAAAAAAGTTATGAATATATCTATATGAAACTATAATATATGTAAATATAATAGAATGACTATATATAATTATAATGACTATTTTTGTGTTATACTGTGCCTAAGAATAAGCACCTTCCCCTCTGTAGTTCCCATTAAGTACAATCATGGCATAAATTACAGCAAAAGACAGTAGCGCACAGCAGACACCAAGTTCTGCCAAGGAAATACCATACAATCGTTCTGGGTTTGGGACCACAGAGTGATAAAAAAATAAGTAGAGCCTCATTTTTTTTTTGTCCCTCCACGTGGCAATAGCTAATCTCACTTCTCTTGTGTAGTCTTGGTAGTTATGCTACTAAGGCCCATTATTCTAGATTTTCCTGGGGGCTACTTTGATTCTTTGCATTGCATAATCATGGGAATAAAGCAGGAGTTGATGTTTTCTATCTCCTGTAAAACTTACACAAGAAAAGGCTTCAGTAGACAAGGATTACACCAGTGGGACTATGGGTATCAGATACGATGAGTATGCTTGTATCTTTGTCCATCTCCTTGCACCCCAGGAGGAGGCTCAGGGAATAAAGTGTTTTATTCAAAAGTCAGTTTTATACACTGAAGCTTTTGAATACTCGAGGATAGGAATGTGAGGCACTTTTTTATTCTTTTGCTGTGCAGATGCTATTGCTATATCATCCATGATTAGAAATCTCAAGATTATCTGCTTACCCAAGCAAGGCTTCACACTGCCGGCCACCTTTCATTTATAAAGCAGTGATTTCTGACCTACTTAAGCCGCAAGACAGGATTACAGGCAGTAGCTATCTGTGTGACAGTGTAATCAGTTTAATGGTGAGATAGTGGCAGATCCCACACCCAAATGGCTCATCTTCCCTGCCCGGGCAGTGTATCGTCTGTATAAATTTGACTTGGCGGAGGTGACAGAGCCTCCCTGTCCTGTTTGTGCTCTGGGAAACAGCACTGTGTATCCCAGCTCACACACTGACCCCGTGCCAGTAGACTGGTGGTGGTCTTCATCACACCTCGGCCTGGCAGATGAGTTCAGTCTGACTGCTTGTGCCTCTCCGTCTTGCCTTAGGGCTGTGTGAACAGTTAGCCCACGCAGGGGTTCTTTAAGGTGCATATGTCATGGTCAGGCTTATTTGTGGCTGTGAACAACAGCAAATGTCAAACATCATCAGCTCACTCATTTACAATCACAGCTTCAGGGGCAGCCGAGGCTCTGTGTTTATTATGAACCAGTCCACTTGGATACAGCCACTGAAGGTGTGAGTGCACTTGATGTGTTCAGTATGATTAAGGCTTCCTGCCTTCAGTTCATTGTGAGGGTTTTGTTTACATTTAACATTAACTAAACATTGAACACTATTTCCTAACATCTGAGTGTGATATTGATAAACTTAATATTTCCTGTGAGTGAAAAGTCAATTACTTACTGCCTTTAAGTCTATTAACTCTTTCAGACAGCTAGGGTAAGGAATCAGTTTTGAAAATTGATTCAGAACACCTGTATTCTTCCTGATTTTTACTTTTTATTTTTGTTTTTGGTGTCACCAGTGTAGGCAACATTTCAAGACTCAACAAAAAGGAGAATGTGGAACGTGTAAGAATTAATTTAGCGCCTGATACTTGAGTTTTTAAGAACATATGCTAAACCCATAACTCTACCCCCTTTTATATAAAAGAAGAGAATTTTTATAATCTAGGAGAACCACTAATCAATCATTTTATTTCTTAGCCAGAGCAGATGCTGATGACGATATTAACAATTATCATTAACATCTCTGTAGTGCTTAGTGTATGCCAGGCATGGTTCTTAGTGGTTTACAAATGGTAACTCATTTAATTCTCTCAACAACCCAATGAGATTTTTGCAGATAAAGAAACTGAGTCACAGTCCTGCCCTCCCAAAGAAGTTCTGCTTTCCACACCCCCATCACCTAGAGATTTTTCCTGAAGACTGCTTCTTCCCCAGCCTCTCTATGGGAGCTATTTAGAACTAAAAGTAGCAATGCTGCCCAGGTATTGCTTTTGTTATCTTAATATTCATGGACTATTCTTTTGTTCCCTTTAGTATTTGCATAAGCTTTTCAAGAGAGACCATCACAAGGGGCAGCGCTACCACGAAAAACAGATCAGTCTTTATGCTGAATATGATCGACCAAACTTGCTTCCCTTTCTCCGAGATAGTACCCACTGCCCGCTTGAAAAGGTAAGGCACAGGCTCCCCCACTTATGCACTTCAGGTGAAGAGGTTGTCATTGTTGGTAAGCTGTTTGTTGTTCTTCTCTTCCTATCTCTGCTCATCCATCCCCATCTAAGGTAAAGACTGTTGCTCCCAAAGCAGTAGGTTTTGCCAGGACATTCTGATGAGAAAAGAAGGTATTGTTGGATTAGATTTTGGTGAGGAGCGCAAGCATTTTTGTGACAGGTGTAACTGGAAGAAAGGTTTAATCCAAGGTGTAGGATTCAATCAACCATCAAGCAAAACTGATGGCAGGATTTGGAGTCCATTTCCCAGGATCAGAGTGGCACCTCTGTGTTAGAGTCTGGGAGGAAGACAGACTGTCCAAAGCCGGAAGCAATTGCTACACTCAGGAATCTGGTTGATAAACCTTGATTATAGCTTAGGTCCTACACCCTGTCTGCTTGCTTGCTTTTCTATCTTTCTTTTTTTTTCTTTCTTCTCTTTCTTTTCTTTCTTTCTTGGTCTCACTCTGTCACCAGAGTGAGTGCAGGCTAGAGTGCAGTGGCATAGTCATAGCTCATTGCAGCCTCGAACTCCTGGGCTCAAGCAATCCTCCTGCCTTAGCCCCCTGAGTAGCTGGGACTACAGGTACACGCTACCATGCCCAGCTAATTATTTTTAAATTTTTATAGAGACAGGGTCTCCCTGTGTTACCCAGGTTGGTCTTGTACTCCTGGCTTCAAGCAATCCTTCCGCCTCAGCCTCCCAAAGTGCTGGCCACCCCACCCGGCCCTGTCTGCTTTAAATATCTGCCTTCTGTGATTCTGTATTTCTCTGGCACATTCCATTCCATTATAATTAACTATTTTCTAGTCTCTCTTTCTCAGTCTTCTGTAAATTCTTCAAAGACAAGTCATTTGTCTTACTCATTTTAGTAAGCCTAATACCCAGCACACATTACATATTTACTAAATATTTGTTGCCTCGTGAGTGAGAAAATGAATGAATTAAACGTATACAAGGCCTCAGTTAGGGCTAAATATGGACCAGTAAGTTTTATGAGACTGCTGTTTCAAAATAAACTGTAATACTATGTATGAGCTAACAACTGGGCAATCTTAAGGCAGACAGTATTATTTCCCACAGTTCCTGAAATCTAATTCTATCTGACATCTACAAATGTCTTACTAAATTCGGATAGCCAGATAAATACTTTTTACTCAGCTGTGTTTATAAACAAAATTTAAAAAAAACATATCTGACCCATAAGAGACATGTATAAAGAAGTCGATTGATAGCACAGTTTATACACATGTACAAATTTTATAATTACTTCTTCAACCCATGGTGAATATTAAATGTATGAGATTTACTGCAAACCAATTTCAGCTCAGTGGATTTTTAATGTCTACAGTTAATGAAAAAAATATCTTGCCTGTGTACTAACTTATAAAAAACCTTCAACATTTTATACTTAGGGCCCTAAAACACTTTCTGAAGAATAAATTTGGAAATACATCATCTTACTCTAAAAATAAAAGCAGATGTTCTCCTCTTCTCTCACCTTGGGACCTTATAATCCAGCAATAAAGTGAGCATCTTGTCTTTCAGCAGTGCCCCTTCATTTGTATCTCACTTTCTAAGGAAACGTCATATGTTTGCAGAGAGGATATGACTTCTCTAAAAGTCTCCAGTTGACTCCTCAGAGCCATGCACATGTAGGTGATTTACAGCCATCCTGGGCTCATTCTTCTCATTCACTAAACACAACTGCAGAGGTGCCACCCAGACGTTCACATTCCTCACGCACTTCCAGCCCATCCAGTTTAAAGTTTTCTGGTCTAGTAGTGCTCAACGGAAGACAGCCTGCTCTAGCCAGTAGGGAAGCAGCAGAACATCACAGACCTGTGGAGACTTCTTCATCAGAGACCATCTGGTTATCAAGGTTTATTGTGGGAAATGTGTATATTTTCAAAAAACATAAAACTCTGCCCTTGTTCAGGTACCCAAAACTGTCTTAGAGGAGGTATTCATGACTTATTAACTCATGAAAACTCTCTTTCCTTTTTCCATAGAAATAAGAATTATGTATACACTTAATATTAGAAACTGATTTCTTTTATGTTTACTTGTCACTTGAAAAAGCTATCATATATACCAGTTCATGAATGACAAAGTAGATTTCCCCAAGTAAATGCATCCCAGGCATGCTAGCATGATGTGAAGGTTATGGAACACAGGTC